CCCTGCCCACGTCTGTCCCCCGAGGGCCGGGGTGGCTGGAGGTGGTGGTGGCGGCCGCCGGAGCGCGTTGTGCCTCGTTTCCTGCTTTGGGAGCCCGTCAGAGGCGAGCGTGCCGGGGTGCGCGGCCGCTGGCAGCTCCGGGTGGCCCCTGCCTCCGTCCTTGAAGTTTGCCTGGGGGCTGTGCTTAACTTCGCTGCTCCTTGGGGATGCTTGCTCTGAGAGCGTGAGGGACATCCCCCTTAGCTCCCGAGGCTCCTTCGCTGGAAACTCTGGTCCCTCGCTGAGACCCTCTGTTATATATTTTCCCTCTCCTGCCTGTCCTCGGTTGAAAATAAAAGGCGTAAAGTCCCTTGCCATTTTTCTGTTTGCACCTCAGCTTTCTCTTTGTCGCGCATTGTGTTTGTGTATGTGCATGCCTGTATTCCTCATTTTTCTCCTAACTTGCAGCTATTCTGTGAAGATGTTGGATTTTCAACCAAGTCTCTTTCTCCTTGGAGGGGTATAATTTTTTGTTTTCCCAGGAGGGATGCATAAATTCCGTTGTGGCATAGTGAGATCAGCAAAGGCCCCCCCTGGGAAGGGGCTCGCACTTTCTCTTTGCTCGTGCAAATCGACTGGGGGGGAGATGCATTCACAGCAGATTTTCGTCCTTTGGTGTAAGCCCTTGCCTTAATTTGAGGAGGAAGCATAAGGTTGTAAGTGCCCGTAGGGGCCTGGAGGAAGCCGGAGCAATTACAACCTACTTAGTCCCCCCTTCGCCCCCGTGGGCCCCAGAGTTAAAGGCAGAAAGTGCATGCCCCTTCCCCGGCCCTTGCCCAGGCAGGCCGGTGCAGGAGCGGGTCGCAGGCAGCTGGGTGCAGCTGGGCACAGCTGGGCGGCAGTAGCCCCGGCATCTCCCGGGAGCAGGGGATGGCCTCGCCTGTGTGTGTGTATGGTTGATGATGCGATGTTTGCTTCTCGTGGTGTTAAAGATTTTCACAACTTGCTGGTAACTTTCCATCTTGTTCAGCCTGGGTGTAAGTCCAGTTTCTGCCATGATGCCGTGGTATCTGCATACTTAAAAGATGTACAAAAGTTTAAAATTTTGGAGTTGTAGGTGTGCAAAAATACATGTGAAAACGAATGTGTGAGGGAGAATCACCATTAAAGATACCCATGTTTCTTAATATGTACTCCTTCCTGTCAGACTAGAGGTAGCTGCTAAAACGATTCAGAAATTAGTCACTAGGTAGAATCCATATATATTTGCAAAAAAAGCCCCCTCCAGCTTATGATACATTGTTTGACACGATTTAAAAGGTACTAAACCGAACTGATGATTTAATATTAAATGAAAGAAAATAAGTGTATTTAGTCATAAATATGTATGTCCATAACAACGCTTTAAAATGCAGCTGTAATGTACTTCTGCCAGGTCGTTTAGTGATATCTGCACTTCTCTGGTATCAGTGAGACTTCTTGTGCAGTATGGTGCTACTCACTTTGGCTAAGGATATTGGAATATAATTTCTTTTCTGAGCCCGTTGTCCCATCCATTACTGTACGAAGCAGGAAAAAAAACCCCTAGGTGTACTACTAGTATCTGCTGCCACTATTGATGTTACACTCGCCTTTCTCCTGAAGGAAGGGCTCATGCTGTTTGGTTATTTTTGACTGGCCACATGGGAAAGCAAAGTCAGTTTTCTGCGGGATGTTTTACTTCCAGAAGCACCAGTAATGCAGAACTGTGCATGCGCGAGGTGGCCCATTTTATGGTTATTAGTGACACTGCAGGTAAATCCCAGATGTTCCAAAATGGACTATGTACAATTCCAAAGTATGTGATAAACCTTAAATCAGCTGTGTTCTCATAGCAAAGTTTGCTAGGACAGCAATTGTGAAAGCATGCCCTTCTTTAACTAGACAGTAATGTGAAACACGCATGTTATGTGGAATGCAGTGTTTCTTAAACAGTGTTATCTTCTACTGATATGGAATATGCTTGAAGACAGTTATTTATATTTAATGAACTGTCTTCAGGAGAAGAGATAGTCTTATTATATTGGTCTGATTGGTCACCAAGGCAAGGTAATTCAGAGTGAAGGTTGACACTGTCAGCCACAAGTTGCTGTCACACTATGGCAGCTGTTTCATTTACATCACAGAGGATTTGCAGTGATTCTAGAAGAAACAAAGTAGCCCAAATTTATTTTGCAGTTGTTTACACAATGAAGATTTTTCTGTAGTAAATCTAGTTTTTTATGTGTTAGTTTATTTAATGTTACTTTAAGTGAAAATTAAGCAATACCAATAAAAGGGAGAGGAGGATGTAAGTGAACACCTTTGTATTCATGGTAGAACTTTAACACAAAGTGCCTAGGACCTTCTTTTAGCTCATGAGAGCAGAATTTAACAGTATTTTACTGTACAATATATGTAGCTCACTGCAGATATAAATTGCGAGTATGGAAGACAACCACATTTCAAATGCTGTGGTGCTTTAGGTGTTAAGCTTTGTCACCTGTGTCACTGTTAAAGCGTCTACTGGATAACGTTTAACCCAGCATAAACTGGAGACTGAAGCACTGAAGTACTTTTAGACTGAGTACTTTACCTCATAAATATAAATAAATAAAACATTTTAAAATAGCAAAAAGTATTAATGGTTATTGAATTTTAGGACTTCTGCAACATCCTCCCGTTCCCTCAAGTTAGAGTGATTTGGATAATTTGCATACAGATCTTGTACCTACACGATTGCTTAAAGTTGTAGGTTTTTCGGTAGGTGGCACTCTTACCTGTGAGTCAGTGCAATGTCAGTGCTGCAGCATGTTGGCATAGAGGGGATGAGGGAGGGAGAGCGTTGGTAGTGATCAATGTTTTCGATGAAGTGTATAATACTGGTTTATTAGTTACAGGGGCTTTTACAATCATAACACTTTTTGCAAATGACTACATGTTACCAGTTTTGTTAATTTAGCTTAATTAATGTCCCATTGCAGGTTAGTTTGAGTTTAGTCTGCTATATAATTTACCAAATATTAATACTTTTTATATATACTGCAGTAATGTTGCTGTAGCTCTTACTAAGGGCTAGGATCCAATTGTTTTAAGAACTTACAGCCACAGGAAAACAAGAGTCAGCGATTCCCTAGAAAACTTACAATCTCACATCTTTTCCATTTTGTTGGTTGCATGGCTAGTGGTCAAAAGTTCTGTTTACAAGCTAAATGAAGTTATTGTTATTGGCAGCATTTCAGAGAATGAAGAGATTTCTGTATATTACTGTTATATATACTCCTGAGATACAAGACATTCTACATGGTAGAATGTTATATCCAACAACTTTGATATATTTATGATTAAGAGCTGTGTTTGAACTCAGAAGAACATTGCTCTGGCACCTAAACGGAAACAATATGGAAGATCATATAAACCAGATTTCAGACCTAACATCTTAAGTTGTGCTTGCAGTGTTTTAGCTTCTCTGTCACATTTGTGTGACCCTATTGGCTAATATCATTGCAACTGCAACATTATAATACCTCATCGGATGTTCAGCGGTCATCACCCACAGCTTACTACATTTTTTTTTTATTTTTTTAAGGTTGCCTCACCAATATTTATTAATATTATAAGATTGGTTGCCTCACCAAAATTTATTAATATTATAAGATTGATGAAGAGGATAAGACAACTGGGGTTGTTTGAATGTGTGCATAGAAAAGTTTCAGGAAGTCTTGGAAAATTTTGGGTTTTGTATGCTGTTAAACTCCAGAATTCCATGCATGAAAGTCTTTTAGTTATCGATAGGAGGCAAAGGGAATCTATTAGGCCATTATTGTAGAACATGAGCAATTGCTGGGGGAAGGCTTGAAAGTTAACAATTTGCAGTTCACTGCAAAGTTAACAATTTGTTAATACTGGAAATTTGGAACACAGAGGTGCAGAATCTGCCTCACAAACATACTGAAGTTTGGTCCAGGTTCAATTTGGAGTTTATTGTAATTTTTGTTACGTCTGTTTCATTAGAAATACAAACATATTTAAGCTCTTAAATTGCATATTCAAGTATTAGATATAGGTGTCCCATAGATTTCTCACAGGTACATTTTATTTGCTTTGGCAAGCAGAATAAGTCTGAAGGGGAGATAATTGCTTCTTTTTGTTGTGAATAAAAGGAAATATCACTGGTGCTTGTGATCTAGAGTTAGCCTTGATGTAATTGTGTCTTTTCTATATTGCATTGCAGAGATGGTGAACTGAGTTTGAGTAGATCAATGATCAATAGCTCTGATAAGATAATTCAAAAGGGTGGCTCCTCAATCTTCCAGCATGCTGTAGAAGGTTGGAAAATCAATTCTTCTTTGGTACTGGAAATAAGGTGAGTGTTTTAAATAAAAAGCAGTTCATTTCATATTACCTATAATTCTTTTCATTTCATATTGCCTGTAATTCTTCTGGTCTGGAAAACAGCCATTTGATTTACGGTTGCAGGTGGATGTTTTATATACATGTTTATGGTGCAGTGTTAAATGCAACTAAATTACATTAGACTCCAAAGTCAAGTCATCCTTCATGAGAATAAATAAAATGTTTTCATCTGGCTGTGTCAGTCAGACCCGTGCAGTCAGTATCTACATTATGCATGTTCACATTTAAGTTGGCTGCCTAGAACTCTCTTGCAGTCAGTGGTGAGAAATTGGCACTTTTAAGACATGATTTCCTCCCATCCTAAAGGTCTCAAATAGGATAGATGGAAGTACCTGAACGTACCAGTTTTTCTCCCTTAACTATAGAGGGAGCTTAGGTAGACAACTTAGATGTGAGAGTCAAGAGCTAGGATGTCAGGTGCTGCGAATCCAGCCCTGTCTGTGGCTGGTCCAAGTCACAAGGTCAGGAGTTGACAATATGCAGTTTTCTTTCCTGAAATCAGAGAGGCGAAAAAGAGCCTTAGGCTCATGCTGAGGGTGGAAACACAGTAGCAGAGTTAAAGTGAGTGATAGTTCTGATGGGTGTTGGTAGGTACAGCGGGTCTACTCACCTTGGGGCTTGAGAGAAGAGAAAGCAGAAGCCTCTTAGTGTGTTGTATTGTCACTGTATCTGCTCTGTCTTAATCAGGAAGGTGGCCAGTGAGAGACGTGTGGAGCATGGGTTGGCAGTGTGGAGGGCTGGGAGTGTTGCATTCTGTGAAAAATGATAGAAAATAACTATTTTCAGCAGCAATCACATAGCAGAGTAGACTTGTTTTTCTGAATATTAAGATGTTGAATAGGAATTTGATCTAATTAACATGTGGTTTCTATGTCATTTCCCTTTCTACCTGTTTTTTTTTTTATTTAACAGACAGCTTACAAAACCCTTAAACAGGCAATGTTCCACGTGTGAAAGCATGGCTTCTCTGAATGAGGAACTTAGGGTTTGTTTTTTTTAATGACTGCTATTTTATGTCCCTAATTCTAAAATGTGCAGAAGATATGGGTAGCTCAGAAATGTATGAAGTAAAGGATTGATGTTCTGTAAGTCTTGTGCTATGATGGCCATAGCGCAGCCCCGCTGCAAAAGCCAAGGAACAGCGTCAGGGATGGAAAGAGTTGCAGGATTTGGGTAGGCAGCAAATTAATATTCTGGAGCCTGTAGCTGTGTCTCAGCTGCCTGGCAAGAGCTCTCTGGAGCACTGTGGAGTCCCCACTCCCTGACTGCGTAGACTAAGGGACCCTTGGGCACTTGGCTGCTCCCCAGGCACCTGGGTTTCCTACTAGGGAAGACCTGGTGGTTGCCCTAAAATGCAGCTGAGGTGCAGCTCAGGAATGGAGTTTCTTCCAGGACCGTCTGTTCAGATGCAGCATGTTTGACGAGTGCATGGTTATTCCATAAAGTCTAAGTTCTGCTCCAAGGTAGTTTAGGAAAGATAAGCAGATTTTCTATATCAGTATTTAAAATTTATATGCATATAACTGACAATTTAAGTTGGAGAAATATTGAGTAACTTCAGAAGAATACTGTTGAAATTTCAAATCATAGGTTGTGTTTCTGACAATTAGGAGAAAATAGCACACTGTTTTACTCATGTAGTAAACTGATTTGGAAGCCATTGAGTGACTATAAGTAGAGACAGATAACTCTTTTCAGTCATTTTGTTGAAAAATTCAGTGTCATATTTCAGAACCATTTAAAACCAATACACCTTGCTGCTCAAGCCAAACAACAAACAAGTAAAAATACTACAATAACTTTTTGATCAAAATTATGAGAGAAAATGAAGCTTGGGTTATGCTCATTTTTCACTTGTTTCAGAAGCAAAATACATCATTCAGACAAAGAGGTAAAACAGTAGAGAATACTTCTTTTTTTAAGCTTGTTACTATGTGTGTATCATCTCAATCTACTAAAATAATGAGTTTCAAAATCAGTTTTTTCCTTACTGTTGGCTGGGGGGGAAAAGTTCTCTCATTTTATAAATTACTAATGTGCTCTTAAGAAGCATCATGATGTGATTATGTGGTGTTTTTTAAAAATTGTACAGTGAAGGATTTTTTTGTCTCAGTAGTACAGTGAAAAAAAACAGGTCTCTTGTACACTGGTTTAAACAGTAAAGGTTCCTCTTTACCAGCGTAAACATTTTCTGTACAGTAGAGAGCCTAAAGGTGAGGTTATTTAGATGTCCACATTGCTAGTCTTGTTTTGAGATGAAACAGCTACTGTCATGAACACCAGGGCAGAAAGCAGGTGTTTTCACTGAACCAGTAAAAGTTTTTAGATTAATGTGACTTAGGGCTAAAATTTGACATAAATTATGTGAAAGGAGTCAGTGCTACTAGCCAGTCATATTCTTTCCAGAAATCCTCTTTGCTAATGTGCATAGCGTATTCAGTTATGGTCCTCAGTGGTGAGGGAGGGAAGTTCGGCATGCTTTTCCTTGAGGAAGCCACATGCAGCCCCTTGTGATATGTGTTCCACTCCGATGCTGACTAAAAAATGTGCATTCTACTTTCACTTTTACAGGTGGTTTGCTATACACCTTTCTTCCCTGTCACAGCAGTAAGAAGCATCTTAGCCGTAAATATTTTTACACTTATGGACCTATCAGGACTAACTTCAAAAGTGTCTAGCAATCTCCTAGAGTGTTCTCATGGTTCAACTAACTGTTTAGCCCTCCAAAGTACATTACATGCACTGTGTAGACTGTGAAGATGATTCATACTCTATTATTGCAAATGTTAATGTGAACGGTGGTGCTCCTGTGGTGTGAGGTTGACCGTAGCAAATAACCGTGAGAGAAACAAAAAAAAAGCTAGCGCCTGTTGAATAATGTATAAAAAGTTGTCAGTTCTTAGCAGTAGAGAAGTAATTTGTGAAACCATTAGTGTACAGCATAAAGACATTTCATAAAACTTATAATCACCCATAAGTAGCAGCTACTTTTGTGTCTTACGTCAGCTGGACACCCACATTAGCAATTTTAAAACATAGAAAATATTTGATAGTTTCGCTTCATGCGAGGACTCTTGATCAATGGTGTGTCTGGACATAGTTGGCTGGCAGCTGGAATATTATGCTTTGCTATTTGCTTTGTTGACCATGGGCATCATCTCTGGCCATTTTATTTTTGCTCAGGTTAGTGACCAGTCTGTCAGCCTCAAAGGTCCTATGAATTCTTGGCAAGGCCAGGCTCAGATAGGAGTCAATGAGTGAAAAAGCTGCTTTATCAGGACCCCGTGGGAGGATGAAAAGTTTCCACTGGGTTTCTGGTGTCACGAGATGCTCTCTGGAACTTTGCAGCCAAAAGAGGTAGTCTAGGAAGTGTAGCAGCCCTTTTGGGAGGGCAGCAGCCCTTTGGAGATGTTAAGCAGGCATTAGACGTTCTGTGATTGAGGTAGAAATGATGGGTATTATTAATTACTCTGGGTATTATTAATTGCTTGAGACTGTAGCAAATTTGCTGCCTTGCCAATCACCATTGCTCTAGTGGGAGAGTGATTTTTCCAACTGATGTTACCTTCTGATTGCTGACAACTTCTTTGAAGAATAATTGGTAATTCCTGTGCCTAAGGGAAGGAGACTGCTTGCTTGGCTCCCCTTCTGTCTGAATTTTTTCAGTTACAAAAAAGAGAGAGAATCCACCTTCTGCAAGGTTTTGTGTCTTAAGTCCTTCCTGCTCTCTGTACCAATGTGAAGGTTTTCCAGTTCTGGAAATTAGGAAATTTCAGTTGTATTGAAGGCCATACTTTCAGAAAGGAGAGATGTGGCCGAGATGGTACAAACCTAGCTGGGGAAGCCTTCCACACTATGCCACACTAAGCCAGGACTATGCCAACACATCTGTGACCTGTGTGAAATGAATTACAGTCTGACATCTCAGTGTGTGACTTTCTTCTTCCACTTATTTTTGATTAAATGTGGGTGTTTATGTTGGAAGGAGCAGATGAATGTTTTGAATTGCAGGAAGGCAAAATAAAAAAAAAAAGTGTGTCGAGGATGTATTTATCTTTTTGCAATGTGACAGAGAACTCGATGAGTGGAAATTTCCTGTCAGAAAAGTGTGAGAACTTGTAAGATGTTAAAAGCATCATGAAAAAAAGTGCAGCTTCCTCGTTAGAAAGGTTCAGATTATTATCGTTGTTTATCTTTCAAGTTAATATGAAACAGCTATGATAAAGTCCCTGAAGTGCAAGCAAATACTGAACTGGCAATGGAGCAGTACAATTGCTCTGAAGCATTTGGAGCAATGTTTTGGGGCCAGCTACGCTGTTTCCTTCAGATCTTCTGTGTCTCTACGACATGCAAACTGGGGCTGTCTAATCTGGTTTAGTCATAATAAATCTAAGGTTTTTTTGCCTCCTTAGTCACTTGCCTTCACTGAAAAGTCAGTATTCACTGTCAGTTGGGATGATTAACTCCTTTGACTCCTTTCTTTTGACTCTAACTTGCTTAAATTAATGAAAAGCTGACATATGGCTGGGCCTTCATATGGTAAGCAGTAGTTGGGTCATATTGTATTTGAAAGCCCTCCTTTCCTTTTGCATGTGCCCACTGAAGATTTGTGCCCGATTAGTATGTGCTTCAGCTACTGAAGTAACCTTTCTGGTCAAGGGAGAGTGGGGTGCCCTGAAGGACACGAAGAGGGCTAGAATGGAGACAGAACCAGACAGCAACTTTCCTGTAATACGGCACTTCAGTTTGTGTGGTCCTCCATGGGCTGGGGAATGCCAGGAGCCTTTCCATGGTTAGTTGCAGTTAGGCGTGCTTTTAACAAATCCAAATCTTAGAGAATTTTCAAAATTAAATAGAAGAAATGGAATGAAAATCTGCAATAACTTCAGTAGGATGGGAGTCTTTCGGGAGTGAGATGTTACTGGACATTTACTAATTATATATCAAAAG